CTTGCACAAACAGACTGAACTATTCCAGGAGCTTTTGGAATTAAACCAAAAATTACCAGAGTTGATGAAGAAAAAAGCACAACCTATCAAAGAAACTCGCCAGTCTGGAAGCGAGGATGATATTTTCAATGATTCACCAGAGCACTCCCCAAAAACAGGATTAAGAAACACAAGATGCCTGAGAAAAAATTTACTAAGCTCAAAATTTTCTAAGCCCGAAATTGACAATGCATTAGAATCAGATGATTCAATGAATGAATGCCTCTTGAAAGCTAGTCAAATAGTAGAAGAAAATTTACTTGAATGTAGGCCATCTTCACCAAAAAGAAGTTGTTATGAATCACACTATAAAAGTAATAAAAAGGATATGAAACTAAATACAGATTTTAAGATAGATCAAGATTCCATGGATGCCATTTTGAATAGTATTAAGTTGGAATCACCGGCTGTGAGCAAAGTGAAAAAATTTGAATCACCTAAACTAGGAAATGATTCTTTTGATAGTTTTGTTGGTAACTTGAATGACAGTGCATTAGAACAACTGACACAAATGCCGATTAAAGGGAATGTTTCTGCAAGCAAAGCCAAACAAAAATCATCAGATTGGACACTAAAGGAATTCATTGTGCATGAAGGGAGTCCTTCGTCTAAATCAGTATTTGGCCGTTACAGTTCAATGCCTGAGTCACCATCTGTTATTGAAAGTAATAAACCTTCCACAAGTGGTATGGCTTTTGGTAGATACAATTCTATGCCTTTCAGAAATGACGACAATTTAACAGGTTGGTTGTCATTAAGTCTTACCTTGTACATTCTATTTTATTTTTTTTAACGATTATTACTTTTAATTGATGCCTGTTTCCTTATTTCAGCTCCTGGGGATTCTCCAATAAGATGTACGCCTGACGAAATTAAAAGGAAACACCAAATGGCTAGAGAAAAATTGCTGGCTAAAAGACAACTTCCATTTACTTCTTCACAACAATCCACACAGTCTACACAGTTTATGTCAGAACCGTTGCAGCGAATACCGAAAAATACCAAATTCCAACCTAGAATACCTAGTACAGCAGTCTCCAAAAGCCAAAATAGTCTAGTTACAAATGCTCATAATTCTAAGCCAGCAACAAATAATGACACAAACAAAAATAATAATTTAGATATTAAATCTCTCATTGAGAAGAAAAGACAGGAAGCTCTAATGAAGCTGCGGCGCCGTCAACCTAAATAGAGTATAATGATTGTTTATTTTTGTAAATACATATTAATTTTAAGAATATTTGTTGAGAATTATGATCAATGTAATTCGAAGTGCCTTTAAATCTTATGAATGAAACTGCCTGACTATTTTAAGTTTTATAAATCTTTATTTTATCAAAATGCATGATAGGTAAGTTAATTTTGTGCAACCTAATAAATGCTATACTTTAATACATACTATTGTTGATTGCAAATACTGCTATTACATTCATTTTCAAGTTCATTTTGGATTAAATTTGCCATTATTAGAACCACAGAGATTAGAACAAAGCCACAAACTGTCAGTAACATAACGCCTTTGAAGGCATTTGCGGACAAATGAAGAAGTAAAATGTCAAATTCAATTAGGGATGTTCAGTAAAAAAGCACGATAAATATTTTTATCAAATTAGTGTAAATTGTTGTACTGAAAAGAGGATGGGATCGGATCGGAATGACAAAAAAGCATTATCAATCAGAATTTTTTTTTCAATTTTGACCACTAGGAACACTTATGAACGTCAAAATACAGTAAAAAAAATGGGCAATGGGCACTTTACTATTATAGAATGACCCACGCTGAACTGTCCCAACAAACTCAATGACAGGGGGGCGCTACCATCGTTCAGCTATATGGTTTCCAACATGGCAAAAATCGGAACCAGCGATCCGGTATTGACGGTGGCGCCCCACTGTCAATGTCATGCATAGGACAGTTCAGTATTTTGGAACTATATCTCCTCATCTTTTGGGCCTTACCAGCGTTTCGAAACAAACATTATGGCAAGTACTGAGAAGAAACGCCGGAACAAATTTAAAATATCTGGGAAAGCTGATTGATCGACGACCAGTGGGTCGCTTTCATTTTGGTGTATATGTTACGGTCAATGTGATAAATGTGAAAATTATGAATAATCGCCGGTTATTATGAATAATTACCATAATAATAATTACGTACACGGATCTTTGAGAGATTCACAAAGTATTTTTGGAGAGATTCACAAAGTATTTTTGGAGAGATTGAAGCAGGCGACTGGCGTTAAACCACAGAAGACGGAGAAAAATGGCGACTTCTCTTATAGTAGGCTAAAAAAACACAGCCACCGGAGTAAGTAAGCACTAAGTTTTACTCGGTATTTTTAGCTGGGCAACATCTGTAATATTGTTTATCAATTTGTAGGCTCAAGTAGAAAAACATTATTAGTTTTAGATTTCACGGCTTATTCCACTATTCCCCGTTAACGCCAATTGGAGCTTATAATGTTAAAAATAAAATCCTAATATAACGGGGAATAGTCAACAAAAAGTTCACTAATTTAATTAAAAGACATTCCCCGTCAACACGGGGATTGTCAATGGGGAATAGTGGAAAAGCCGATTTTACAAAATACATTTTAAAATTAAGTGTAACTTTCAATAGCAATATTTGTTGTTACTTAATCAAATTAAATAGATTTTGATAGGGTTTTTGTTTATATCGATACTTTAATTTTGAGGATTATCGAACATCACTAGCCGTCAAACTGTCAAGTCAAAGTCAATGTCAATTTTCTGTCAAATTTTTGGATCGCTCGGTCGGATCTCAGCTCTGTTTTGCAAAAGTAAAACTTTTAGGACTTGTTGTAATTGTAATAAATTGATATTATTTTACGTGAAATCGGAAGATATTTTTTAAAGTTACTGCCAATCAACTTTTCGTTTTTCATGAGTGAGTGAAGAAAAAATCAAGCGTCAAGTAGAAAGTTTTTGGTTTACCAGAACGTAACCCGTTGATCTCATACGATGGCTCTGAATTACATTCGTCAAATGACGAGAACAGCTCTAACTATCAAGTCGGTAAGGATAAACGTACCGCAGAGGTCAATCTCTCAGTCACAACCTGCGTTTCTTGGTATGATACCCATCGTCGTTGAGCAAACAGGCAGAGGTGAACGGGCTTATGATATCTACTCGAGACTGCTTCGTGAACGAATTATTTGCCTCATGGGGCCTATCAACGATGACATTAGCTCGCTAGTGGTAGCTCAACTGTTGTTTCTTCAGTCAGAATCTAGTAAGAAGCCAGTACATTTGTACATCAATTCTCCTGGTGGCAACGTGACTGCGGGGCTCGGTATATACGACACAATGCAGTACATTACACCTCCTGTAGCGACATGGTGTGTTGGTCAAGCCTGCAGTATGGCTTCTCTGTTACTGGCAGCTGGAGCTCCTGGTATGCGTCACGCTCTTCCTAACTCTCGGATCATGATTCACCAACCCTCTGGTGGAGTCAGAGGACAAGCAACAGACATCCAGATCCAAGCGGAAGAGATATTGAAACTCAAGGCTCAGATAAACGGTCTGTACGTACGGCACACTGGATTACCCATTGAAAAAGTTCAGTCTTCCATGGAAAGAGATTACTTTATGTCTCCGACTGAAGCAAAAACTTTTGGACTTATTGATAATGTGCTGGAGCATCCTCCGTCACATGCTATGGAAAAGGAATGTCAAGCTGTATCTGGGACGGGAACCAGTGGCAGTAGTAGTAATATATCTTAGATACTGTTAGAAAGATTTACAAATTCTATTGATATTTTTTTATAAATAAAGATATAGCTATGTTTTAGAAAGTCATTTATTATCAGAAGATCAGTTGAGCTGTTTCAATAATTTTATTATTAGTCTGTGCTAAGGGGCTCTGAGCTTGATTCAAAGACAGGTCATTTTATTATTATTTAGCATTAGTTTAGTGACCAAAAAAACTAATGAGTTAAAAATAATCATATTTTTATTATTTTCCCTAGTAAAACAATACACAATATCAATTATTATTTGTAATATGTACCTGTGCCTATCATATTATTCATGAAATTAAATTAGTTAGGCTTTTTAATTAATATTTAAAATCCAACAGAGGCAGATTGTGGTGCAAAAAATCATTTTTTTCTGCACGGGAGCAAGTCGGTTTCGTTTTTCCTCGTAAATTAAACCTGTCTCGGAAAATAGTCTTTCTGAATAAACAGAGCTTGCTGGTGTGATTAAGTATCATTTAGCAAGCTTACTTAATATAGGAAATCTATTTTTATTGGTACTCAAAGTCCACCATTCATATGGGTTTATTTTTCTGTCAGCCTTTGCTAATGCGATGTAGTGGGCGATTTCTTCAGCAGTGGCATTCTTGGGGTGCTCTTCAGTAGGTTGCTCTATAGATGATTCTTCAAAACATGCCCAAAATTTACTACATTATGTAGGTATGTATAACATGAAACAGATTTCTTTAACTTTATTGTTTTCTTTCTCACAACCTTAGAAGAAATTAGAAATAATTTTAATGTTTTTATGTCGAATAGTAATGTCGAGTTATTCGACTATTCGCCAAAGTGAATGGCGATTAATCGGTATTCGACTATTCGCTATAACCACTATTCGCGGCAACTCTACCAGAAGTTCCATATGTTTACATTGTAATATTACGAAATAATATGAAAACGATGCATTTAATTTATCGTTTTGGGGCATGCTCTGTTAAATATGTATGTAAGTAAGTCTTGTACTTAGAGATAGTCAACGTCAGGGAAGGATATGGGAAATGGGATGTCATTTGTCGCAAAAACACTCGACTTTTTTAATGGAGAGAGAAATCATCTAAATAAATAAATTTTATTTGAAATGAGATACATTTATCTACTTTGAGACATTTTGTGAGAGATTTTGAATAGAATCGCGAGATGCACATTAGGTAGGTAGGTATATAGAAAAACATTCGTTCGAAAAGCCTAATTTCTTTTAATTTTATTTGCTGTGTTCCGGCAGTAGAGACGTTTAGTATTCTCATTGATCCACGAGTAGAAATACGATACATTGGTATAAAACGTTAGGCTTGGGTACTCGTTTGTTCCATATGATACCACGCCTATTTGATAGAATGTTTTGTAGATGAACGCACTGCCCGAGTCGAGCCTGTAATGCAAAAGTTATGCTAAATAATAATATTCACCCCGTTCGTACCAAATCGTCGATGTTACGTCACTGGCACCATGTGCGCTTGACCGGGTTGTAGGTAGGTAGATATGCTTTTGTTACGAGTAGGTTCACCACAATAGTCCACAATAGTCGAGTGGCGGCGGGGTCCTAACCCGCGTTCCTCGGATCACGAGTCGGTGAGTCCGACACATTCACCGTTTGTCTTTCGTCGCGGCTTCAAAAACTTTACCTAGGTAGGCTTAGGTACAGTTAGCGTCAAATAGTTTATGACACCCAACCAAAGTAGTCAATAAGTTCGCAACACGTCTTTGTTACAATTGGAATACTTAAGAGCGTTGTAGCAAAAAGTTGGCGTTCGAATTTTAGGTTTTTATTGCTTGACGTCGCGTAGTGAGTGCGCAAACTGCATTTATCTGTACAATTTCAACGCTGCGTCGACTAAACGATCTTAATCCGTAGTTGTATCGTACCTAAGACAGTACATCATACATATTAATAAAGAAATAATGTATAATTTACCTATTTGATTTTTTCTCAGATCAGACTTTTAGCAAAATCAAGTTACGTAATTAATGTATTTTTTACACTAGTAAATCCCGCGACAAGTTTTTAATCTTTAAATTGAGTAAAGTAATAAGTTGATGGGTTTGAAAGAATTTATGTTTTATTTTATTATTTTTACAGCATCAAAAGCTTGTTTATGAAAAATATTTACTATTTAAATTTTACTTTTGACTTTTTAGTTTTTATGATGCGGGATGGAAAAATTAAAATTTATTCTGATTTTGTGACGTTTCCGCACATAAATATGGAAAGGTTAAATAAATAGAATGAAATGTATGAAAACGAGCGTGCCATTTTTTAAAATGCGTTCTGTAATACAAACCCATCAAAAACAATACTTGTCAAAAAACCAAGTCTCACTACTCAGTTGTTCTACGGTAACTTCGCGTCCACGTATATCGAGTACGAACGTTTTGTTTGTCCTGCTTATTACCTTATATGGCCCTTCGTAGGGCTGTTGCAGAGGAGCTTTAACAGCGTCATTCCTTACAAATACATGACTGGACGACAGCAAATCTTTGAAACAGAAAGTACTCTTAATGCCATGGCGCGTGCCGTCGATTGGCGATCCATGTAATACCAAGTCCAGTCCAGGAAATCATTAACGTTTTACATAAATTTGACTTGGCCATCGCATGAAAACACGTGTAAATTAAATTATTTAGTGCGAAATGAAACGAAATTTTGCATGCCTGTAGACATGCAAAATTTNCACGAAAACACGTGTAGGTAAATTAAATTATTTAGTGCGAAATGAAACGAAATTTTGCATGCCTGTGTAGACATGCAAAATTTCAGCTCAATGGGAAAACGGGAAGTAAGTAAATTTTAAGATTTTACAACTCCAGATGTCAAAGAAAATAAAAGCTTGTAGATAGCTTTACAAAGAAAATAAAGATTTATGAAGAAAATAAAAAGTACTGTCTACGATACATTTGTTAGGCCGTGTTGCACCGTCTTACTTTAACATTGACATCAAAATTTTGGGTCAAAGTTAGGTGGTGCATCTCAGTCTTAGTGTATTTTAATTAAATTTAATACAAATAAGGATGACGAAAATAATCGATAAGTGATCTCACTCGAATATTTCTTATAGTAGGTATACAAGATGTCGAACAAATGGTTACTTACTGAAAAAGTGCTTCATGAGACCTAGCAAACGGCATCAATAATATGTTTAAGAACGAACTGAATCTATTCAAAAAACCTATATTTCCAGCTTTCATACATTTAATACAGTTACAAACAAACACGAAATCAATGGTTTCTGAGAATTCTGAGTGCCTTAATGCCGTCCCCTTTATCTGTTTATTTAGTATTTATTAATTAGTATCTCTTGATGATATTGTAGCAAGTTAAACCTAAAATCATGTTTTCCGTAAATAATTTAAATAAGAATGCAATTTACGAGTTTGTTGTTTGATTATTATATATTACTCAATTAAAAATTTAAATTTAAAAAATTAACACTTCTAATATGGTAGGTATGGCTGGCGGCATACATTTAGTATGAAATTCGGAAACATTGAATTTTCGCATAGATCCAGTTTATTCTTTGACCTATTTATTGTTATTGTTTTAAAGAGCTCATGAAGCACTTACAGGAACAGTAAACAGTTTCTCGATATCTTGTATAATTAAAAATCAAGTGAAATCACTTATCGTTTCCACCCTGTACCTATACTTTTAAAAATAAACTCATTTTATACGTTCATTTGTATAAGTATCTACAATACAAATACCTAACCAACTTAGTTGACGTTTTATAAAACTATTTGTCTAAGTGTCATCGAGCGACCGCTGGTGGATTTGCCATTTACCTGACCTACCCCTTTATTACTAAACGTTTAATATCAGATGAATAGTTACGCACCAATTTCTTTCATTCAGTCGTCAGTAATTGAACTTTCGGAAAAACATGACGAAGCGTTGTGTGACCATACAGACGCTATTCAACTTTTATTAGTAAGGAAGAGTATATTTTATGTTGGTAGAAACACAATAGCATAGACTAATGTTTTGACACCCTGTTAAAATTTTTATTAGTCATTTATTTTTTCCTGACCAAACAGATACCATAATAATATCTTTTATCTATTCTACCCATATTCTGTAAGTAAAATAATAAAAAGTTTGAAAAGAAAGAAATTACAAGTCCGATTTACCTAAACAAATAAATTAAAAATACTTGCGGATCAAAAGTACTCAATCATACTACAATTTACGAAAAAATCACGCGTGACGCATATACGTCAGTGGGCAGTCAACTGACATAGACCCGGCGTCTACGAGTGCCAAAGCACGACTGATTTATGCCATTTGATGCACCCGATTTTATAGTATTTTCAAATTAATTTTTCATTTGAAGATTGAAGATAGATATTTTTTCTTTTTCACACAATAATAGTACTATGTTTCTTCTTAAGTATAAAGTAGTTTATGTTGCCAAATGACTTTTAGATTATGAGATGTGACTTGTTTTCTTGTAGTAATTTTCTCGAATTTTGACTATCTTAGACATGATAAAAATGCATTTTAATGAATTAAACATCAAAATTTTCTCAATACACTTTCTTCTTCAGGGTATGCTTATTCTAATGAATACATTCTATCTTCTTACTTAGAAATAAATTTGTTGTAATATTAGTTCAAAGTTGTGCCTTCGCGAGTTACCTGGAAATCGGGCTTTCGAAATTCGCTGTTTTCGTAGGCAAAAATCCAATTTGAACGAGATTTTGTCAATAGACATTCCGTAAAAACGTATGATAATTACGATAATATAAGTCAAAAGAAGCTATAACAATAAATTATATGACTAAAATCATTTCGAAATCTGCCAAATTCTCGATTTCTGCATGAAAAATGTGACAACGCTCTTAAGGTTGTGGCATCAACTTTATTGGCCACTTTGGCTGTCAAGAACTATTTTGACGCTAACTGTAAAACCTGATTGAGCTAACTGCGCGCCTCGCTGAATTGCGATTCTCCCTCGTACTTATCTGCATAGTCACCGCGTCCATACGGCAGGGTACTCACCTGCCATGTAGCACGTAACGTAGCATGTAACGTAACCAACCAAGTGGCTTTACGGCTCGTCCACGGTCATCGCGTATCTGGCTGCGAGCTCCTGAATCCTACTACGAGCCGCCTTTGTGCTCGCAGTGATACCGCCACTCGGCTGGTCGCTGCGATCTACCTGCGAACCACGCGCGAGCAGAGAACAGCGGGCTCGTGCCTATGTACAGTCGCGGAATGAAAAGGTTCGTCAGTTTTCAAATTGATTCCTTCAACGAATCGCGAGCACATAATATATTACCTTTTGAAACTATGTTACAGAATAATCTCGAGTTAGACAAAATAATCTTTAACTTTTAGTCAGTAAAGTTCAAAATTATTCAGATTAAAGTTGTTTGACATTTATCTTGTCAAGAAGATTATTATGATTGACAAACTAAAACCTTCTTGTTGGTTCAACCTGCCATTATTATTTCTATTAGATAAAAAAAAAACATTTTAACATTGCACTGATGGAACAGAAAAATAAGCAAAACCTTCTTCGTTAGCAAACGTCACATTTATTTAAATGTTAGCAGCACTGTTTCTTGCACTGTTATGTTGGCAGGTTTGACTCTTACTACAGTACCTAGTGCAAGCGAAAACCGACACTAAGGTGACGAACCTTTTCATTCCGCGACTGTACCTACTCACTTTATACAGTATCTGATACATTACATGCTACACGGCTAGATGAGTACCCTGCTTACTGGAGCGTCGATGTGACGTCACAGCTGCCAGGTGCGCAGTTAACTCGACCGGGTTGCAGCTTTTCCGTATCAAAAGATATAGATATCAAAAGGTACAGTAATAATGTAGGTAAACTTCGATTGATAGGCCAAAGGGTAGGTAGGTACTTACGGAACGGTCCGGGGTATGTTCTTCGCATTTAGTAAGTCACCAGCACAAAACATTCCAGGAGGCAAGTACAAGTCGTGAGCATAGTTGCAGGCATGCATAGATCTTATTTTTTGAAAGCATGAATGTAGTTTGTCGTCTTCCTCGTCCTGTTAAATATAAAACCATAGATTTATTAAACATTAAAATGTTCATTTTATGGATAGAACTGGTAAGTCAACTGGTGGAGAATGCCTTTACTTAATGGCATAGGTATTAAGTTAGCCTTATGTTTCAAATGGCAATGCCAGATTTTGTATGGAAAGTGGCGTCTTTTTTTTTTCGCGCGGCCATCGACCAAACTTTGTTTTTTGATTACAAAATAGTGTAATAAACCAAACTTACTATGACATGTATATCTCTAAACTCAGTCTGAACTGAGTTACGAGCATTAGAAGTTTCATGATTTTCATACAAGATTTGCTTTTTGTGCGCAAGTTTTGTAAGAAATTGCAACAAAATATTGCGCTATTTTTTATTGCACTGATTCTGCTCCATACTGATGTCTGGAGCCTTTAATGGATGGTATTGTTTGTTTACACATACAATCTCACTATTTTTTTCAAATTTCTTACAAAACTTTGCGCGCAAAAAGCAAATCTAGTACGAAAATCATCAAACTTCTAATGCTCGTAACTCAGTTCAGACTGAGTTTAGAGGTATACATGTCATAGTAAGTTTGGTTTATTACACTATTTAGTAATCAAAAAACAAAGTTTGGTCGATGGCCGCACGAAAAAAAAAAGACGCCAATTTCCGGCATTGTCTTTTTGGCAATCAAGTTTAAATAAATAAGTAAATAAATTTATAATGCAGGACTTAGAGGTCTGGAGGCCTCGGGCAACAATGGAGTGGAGACTGGAGTCCCCCTGGCTCCAAATTGATTTCCAAATAAAATGGTCAATTTTTTTCAGTCGACTTTTCCTTTCCATTAAATAAACTGCAAATAGGAATTTGAGATTTTGATATTTGATCTACTGATAGCCTGTAGCCCCGGTTGCCCACTTCTAAATCTGGCTCTGAATTATGACGTAGTTTTCTTTATACAGGGTGTAGTTTTTTATAACAATGCCCATCTCAGCGGTGGTAGTAATACACGACACTGATGCCAAAGGCGAGCTATCGGTCATTCATTCCCCTCGCTCTTCCGGGGCGGCGGCTGCATGTGCTCGGTGGTGTAGCGGGGTACGCGGGGGTGGTGCGGGCGGTAACAAGTGCAGTCTCGAAGTTTTAGGGGACGTTTGAACAAGGTTTTTACTAATAAAGTAATAAATAAGTAGTAAAAATTTTGTTTTTTTCTTGTAATTACTCTCATGTGTACCTACCTATTACCACCCCTGAGGCTGAGGTGGGCGTTGTTTTACAAAACCACACATATATTCGCCTGAAAACACATCTGCCAATTAACCATTGGGCTAAACAGAAAAAAAATGTAGTATTATTATCATAATATAACTTACACCAGTGGTACCCCATCCTGCCACGTATCCGCTTAGGGGTTTATTCTCAAATGTATTAGTAATTAAGACTTTCTTCATATTATCGCCTAGAGGTATCTCTTTATCGACAAACGCTATAGCTATGTCGTTTTCACCAACCCATTTGTTGAATCGCTCGTGTAATATTGCATCGATACATGTACTTATGATTTCCATCTAAAACAAATACTTTTTAGAACAACAATTCAGTTACGTAGAAAAGTGTTCTGAGTAATTATAAGGGCCATAGGAGACAATGCTACGTTTAGCATCGGCGATCGGCGATTTTGCGATTGTATGCAGCAGCTAAAAGGTTCTATGCAGTCAGTTTTGCGACTTCTGTTCCAACGCAGTATTACCAGGCCTCCGTCACTCGCCTATGCCGGCCGAGATAATTACCTACAGCGCGCGACAACTTCAAGTTGCAAATCAGTCCGGGCCGCCACGCGCCTGTTTGCTTACGCGTATTTCTATACACGCTCGGTCGATCATCGTCGCAATTAAGGTTTATTATTCCAACAGCACTGTTATTCTTCTTTAATGAAAAATTGTAATATTTAGGAGTAATAATTAACTGTAGTGATTTAAAAAAAAAAAAAAAACTACACTTTTTAAATAATAAATTATTTTGAAATACTTATGACAAAAAACTATAGCAAAAAAATTATTTTAGCTAATAAAAACATTAACTTTACTTCACCGTGTCTATTTTCCGACACTACACCTTTTAAAACTGTTTGTTTAATTTCGAATTATCGCAACACTGAAGTTTATTAATAGGTACTTTAGAGATGGTACGATTATACAAACTCCACTAGATTAAAGTTTTCTAATCGTAAATACAATAAATGCTTCTTAAAATTAAGTTTTTATTTATTTTACTTTGCTCATACAACCCTGACGCTTGAGCGGTGACGTAGATCAATTCTAAACACAAAAAAATGCGCTCTTGTGAGCGTAGTAGTAAGGTGCGATTTCGAATGCACCATGTGCGTTGGATATTTCGCATTATTATTATTACCGTTAAAATGTCGGCATCTGATCCTACACAAAGGAGTGCAATTTCTGTTGCTACTATTATGTATTCTGTGGTATAATCGGAATCGCGCGTTTTAGCGACTGCTCCGGCAACTTTGAGGTACTTATGTCCGTTTTCACCATGAATCCCTAATTTTTAAGTGACCCCTATGAAAACAAAATTCCTATTATGTGTTACCACAGGGGTCACTTGAAAATTAGGGATTGATGGTGAAAATGTGCATTAGTTGCCAAATCGCTGCTATTGGATATCCGAATCAACGATAAGTTTCTACTAAGAGTTCCTTGACAGTTTCACGACTACGGAATACGAACCCCAAACAAGAGTAAATACCTACATATTAATCTCAGAATAGATCGTCAGTTAGACCAATAAAGAAAGAAAAGAAAGAAAGAAAAAATGTTTAAGTATTTAGCACCAAATTAATGCACTTTCAAATACTAGTTATAACGGTTTTCACATTATGTCCCATACTGAAACTGTCAATATGCCAGTTATACCAGGAGTTATTCTCGGATAAAAGTTTGGTCGAATCGGGCCTAAGTAAATAATTAATAAATATTCTTGGAAATTTTACACTGCGACATGTCCTTATCCATACAATGCTTGTATTGTGTCTGTCAAAAAACCTTACATTTTGTAATTTGCTTGATGTCAATAGTTGTATTCTGTTACATTGAATCCGTTTACCCGTGACCTAGGCCAGGCGGCCGTCTTAGACCTGCATATTAGATGTATATCAAGTACTTATTACGACTAAACGCCTTCCTACTTATTTTACTTACTTAGTTAAAGAACTGCTCTCACCTCCGTTATGTCCTCGCTTCCAGCACCGATGATAACTGTATGATTAAATTTTGTATTTTTAAATCTACAGTTGACAAGACATTGTGCTGCTGTTAATATCATCCACTGATTTAATATCGATGCACCACATGCCCATATTTTGTCTGTACTGCATTCAACATACAAATACACTGAATGTGGGAAGTCTGTTATCTTCGCAACATCCCCAATCACCGCTCTTCCCTCCATTTCACATTTTAATAATGTTATTCTTAAAAACAAGAAAAATAAAGGTCCAATTCCGACCATCGCTCGCGAGTGATAAACATAAAAACTTTATAGCTTCAATTTCATTGTTCGTAAATTAATGACGTATAAAAACGGCGTAAAATCATGATTAGGCAGTCGTTGTTTCGCATCATTACTTAGAACAGGCGCTTGATTAAAATGCTGATCACAATGAAAGCCCCAAGAAATTTTTCGTTACGTTGTGAATATTATTGTTTGATAGAAAATTGAAAAAGTAGACCTTGACGCAAAATGAAATTCACAAGAATTGTTACGGTGATTAGGTACACAAATAATAATTTACTAGTAGTGTTAATAACAGCATAGTAAGTAGGTGGTACGTAGTAAGAACTTTACAAATACCATGTTTTTGCCCCGAATGAACTAAATCTTCCGTTCCATATCATATAACATACTTAATTACCTACCTACCTACCTAAATTTCTTTTAGCGAAACGATAAAATAAACATTTATTGGGGGCACAAAAAGTAAGAGGCTATTCCTAATGTAAATCACAGACCCGTGCATTTGAAATGCAAAACATTCGATTGTTGAGATTAGTAGAGACGAGTAGTTAGGTTGGTACTTATTTGGTCATACTAGTCTATCCATTTTTACCTAGTTACTAAGTACCCACATGGCACTCTAAAATAGTCTACACGTGGTATCAATATTATAATACTAAACTCATACTAATAGCCACTACCGAAGAAGTTACGTTTCAGAAATCAAATATCGCCGATCGAGAGAGCGAGTTTCGAGTTAAAGACATTTCCATTTCCTGAAAACGAAGTTGCGGGTTTCAAAGGCTTTCATCGAGCATTTATCAGCCGCGGCATTCCGCGACTAGGGATGTCGGCACAAGGTCACCGAAGACATGACTATCTTGCTTCAAAACAATGATCTGTAACGTTTCATAATCTGACGGGTGCCCGGGTGGTTCTGAAACTGAATGGTTGTCGCGCATGCGCCGGCCCCCGGTCGATAGTGGTGACGTCAGTGGGAGTCAGGCCTCAGTCAGCCGACGTCGGCCACCACGCGAACATGTGGCTGCAATGTTTGGCTGCGGCTTGGCTGGTAGCGGCGGCGTCGTCGCGCGAGGTCTTCACCAACTCCTTCCTGGTGCGGTTCAAGCGGTCGGTGCGCCACGAGGAGGCGCAAGACCTGGCTTCCCGCCACGGGTTCGACAGCCTGGGCCCGGTAAGTAGCCACGTGACTATAGTAAACATATACTCCCGCGATATTTGCGGCTGATATCTGAAATGTCGCGGGCGAATTTAGCCGTGTCGGATTACTGAAATTGAACCGGTTAATGCCGTCATTAGGGAGGCGAATCCGGTTTAGAGGGCGCGATTTAATCGTTTGCGGTTTTTAATAACTCAGATGCTTCATGTTTTCTGTACATATTCAACCATTCCGTAATTGAAGGCCTACTTATATTATGCTTTTATGTAGTAAATAGGTAAATATCGTGCGTCACGAATCACGATGTTTCCGAACTTGATAAACATGAGTGGGAGGAGGAAGGAGGACCTATGAAGAACTTTAAAATAATGTTTGGATCAGGATAGATGATTAGTTTTTGACAACTAAATACTTATATTAATATTTCCTTTTCTCTTTTTTACATAATTATGTAAGGAGTGAAAAAAGGAAATGAAATAAATTATCGGACACGTAACTAAGGTAGATGCCCATTATTGGATCTGATCATTTACGTTCGCGTGATGTTAAATTGATTATTTGATTAATGGTAATGGTTAAGTTGCGATTACAATATCTATCGTAGTAGGTTTGAATCATGCCAGAGACAAATAATAAAATTATTAATAATGACTTTTAGTTTTTCCACATCATCGTTTAGTTGGAGGAGTGGTTATGGCACCCTCCCTCACAAGAAGAGGGTCTTTCCCTTTCGATCAACAATATTAATTTAAAGATATAAAAAATACTCGGCGAAATAAGATCGCAATTGAGAAGTTACTTATTTTATTGTAATTAGGTAATCTCTTTATCGTCAGGCATTAATTTAATTTAATATTTTATAGTCTTTAAAATTCCCTTAAACACCCCGCTAACTGTAAGTTGGTGTTAATTAAATAAGAACTCACTTCTCAATGCCCTGTTAGTTCCCGAGATGTTTTTGTGCTGACCCGATACTTATCTAGTTGGTATTGTTGATCTAAGTCCATCCTAAAAACTAAAACAACCTACGGATATCCAATTCAATCAATCGTATCCCGTTTATTATTAACGACAATTTATTTTATTATTTACATAAAAAAATATGTTGTTCACGCACACAAACGTTTATACCTACTGTGCGGGAATCGAAACCGCGACCTTAGCATTTCGTTAATGACTTGCCGAGGAATCGAATCCAGGATCTCTAGGTCGAGCGAGCAGACTTCGACCACTAGAACACGGACGCGTTACCTATGTGCCTACATAAGTCATTTTCAGCAGTCGTATCACTTTAAACTAATTTGTTATTTCAGGAATCTTATTTTAACTAGGTATCTATTTAGCTAAACTTATCACACTTATAAAAATAGTCTCAGTCCTCAGCTTTATGGGTATATTATACCCATAAAGCTGAGGACACAATAGTTTTCACAGCGTGATATCCCTCATCCGTTATTATAGGAGAGGCCTATTTCCCCGAGGAAAGCCTCAATCTCGCTTATAATGGGTTACAAGCCGAATATATTACGGCATTTTCCATACATGAACAACGTACTACTTAGATGTTGTAGTTACGTAGGTGGACGTCGTTAGCGGAACAAATATTGTTTTACTTGGATAGTAACAGGGAAGATAGTGAAGTTTTTTCATTACTTCGCTGGATAGCTAGGTTAGGTAACATAGTTTCATGTTTATGTAGGTTCTGGGCCTAGGTAGATTACTAATATTATAGGTATAGTTACCTACATAACAGTTTTGCGCTTCTTTGACTTAAGGTACTATGATAGGACCTTAAGTAAGTCAAAGAATCCCTATGTATATGACAGAGGGCGTCCACAACAGTCCACCATCGCGTTCGTTCTTGACCTTTGCTAAGCTTTAAAAGCGCCTTCCAAACATATTTTATTTTATAACATTTTAAGAAAAGTTACAATAATTTTTGGAAAAAAATCAACTGATACTTTTGCGTTGGCTACTTTGTATCCCACCTGGCTCTATGGCGGATTAGTGGCATGATTACTGCTAGGCTTTCTCGATCCGGAGGTTCTATTATCAGGTGGTAAAGTGAAAATATCCCATAGAGACCCTTTGCTAAGGATAATACGGGGACGGGGTTGAATTAACCCGATTGTCGAAATTCGATAAGGAACATGATTCTGTGCTTTGTGGGGCATGTTAAGCCGTGGATTCGATCAAGGTGTGCCACTTGTGGTAGCTCCAAGGTTGTCACAACCCACGTGAAGACGACCACGTTGTTGTTATGCCTACGCATAGTATTCCTAAGGGATTGGTAGTATATCTTTTACAAGAAAAATACGCGTACGGAGCCCGCGGGCTAAGTGTAGGTCCTGAATGTTACAAGAATCGGTACAAAAAATTTGGAAAAAAATGTGATAAAGTTACTGCGGCTCCAATCAGTTGAGTCTAGAAATATAATTAGTTATTTTTTATCAAAGAAATAAACAATTCCATTGTCACTATTTGATAGCAACAAACCTATCCTACGATACAAAGTACCTACCTACTTCAATCAAGGTATTCATAGGTATGCCCACTATATACGTAATTAATTATTTAGATCCCTTTCAATTTCGATATAGCTTGTAGAGTCTGTACTCAGTCCCTTATAACGCAGTCCCGAATAAAGGAGGTCTTTGTTGATTGAAGAACGTAACCGTAAATAGGTACTGAGTCCTTCTTCTAAGAAAATATTTCACTCGCTTATAAATTCGCAAGCAACATCAGTACGTGTACATGTATATAAGGTTTATACATGTATACGTACTACCTTATTTTAGTACTTGTTTGAAAGTACTCGTAGCTGAGCTCTCGTCGACGTAGGTACTTATGTATTTTGGAGACCGAATACGAATTCAGAGGATTTTTCGAGATTTCAGTTGGCAAAATAAATGATTAAGAATACGGAGCGTATACTTTGAGAATAAAAAGGTACTTACACATTGACATAAGATATTTATTTACAATTCTGAAAGAGAAAAAAATTCTAATATCTTGGCATTCTTGGCGTGCGTTTTGGAAATGTTGCTCTGATTTAGTCTGATCTGTTGGAGTTTATTTGTACTTTTTTCTTACTAATATTAATTGTAAATGATCGCTTCGTTTATCTTTAACAAACTTTTGAAAATAATGACTAGATATCGAGTTTAGAGCACTTTATTAAAAAAAAAAACATTTTTTAGGGATAGTACAGTAGTAAAGCTACCTCCCCTATCAGTTTGATTAACCCATTCTGGGACTCCCTGTAAGAACCTCGGAACTATTATTTGACAGTCTTGTACAAACTAATAACTTTACCCGAATCATTCAGCCGTTATCCATGACTGCCGTGTTATTTCGTCACCTTTTTCTGACACCTAACAATAGAACTTTGCCCAACTTGGTAGGTATAAAAGGTGCGTGACAAATCTAATTTTAGAAATAAACCAGAACCAATTTATAAAAGTTTAAATAAAACTCAAATTCGGACGTCGCTGTAGCTGAGTTCCACGTGTATCCTGTTCGTTGACCTGCCCGCATAGCCTCGCTCTGTATTTGTCGAAATCAGTCATCAGACTTTGACCTGTAATTTGGTCATTGTCACGGATTAACCATCAGTGTACCTATCTTAAAGAATATTTTATGCAAACGTACTATCAAATACGGAAATTTTCTACCTACTGGACTAAAAGGTACCTACTATTTGATTCATCTACGCGACTATGTACTTAATAAAAAATGAAGGTACGACTATTTTGCGATCGAGTTCTAGGTACCCCTGAAAAAGGTTTTGAAAAGTCCCTAAAGTTACCACACTAGATCAAAAACAACATGAGACCACATTAAATTATAAAAATAAAGTCACTCGTGCTGTCTTAAGGCTTTTTCAGGGTGAAGGGATGACCCTTATTTGAGTTAAGCACCTACACTCCTACGATTGATTTCGTTTCCCGTAAACCATAAGTAGGTAAACAAGACAGGGCCGGATCTACCTATGGGCTGATTGGGCTGCAGCCCAGGGCCCCGGGGTTACAAGGGGCCCCCAGATCCCGCTAAAAAGTAGGCAATAATTGAAAAAAAAAAAAAAAAGGTCTGTAAAGTCGGTTTACGGACGATATTTTTACGTGACAACGTCATAAGAAAATATTGATTAAAAATTGCATACTACATTTTTGAGATTTTATTTAATTTTTTTTCTTCCAATTACTTCTTGTAAAGAAAATGTAATAACTTTTAAACTAAGAGGTAGGTATCCTGATAAAATAACAGTAATAATGCTAAATAATCGGCGATACTAAAAAAATACATAAAATACTCAGAAAATGGCAACAAATAATAAAAAAATTATACATTTTGAGAAAAATCTGCATTTTAATTCGTGTTTTTATGGTTATTTGATTAATTTCTCCAAATAATGCTAGTCCAGTCAAATTAGACATGAACCCTGCAATAATTCGCATACAGCTGAAAATTGGTACGAATGTTCGGAGCACCATTATGAATTAACTGTGAAAACTCCCCATCGATCCGACATGTGCTAAAAAAAAATTCAAGGTCAAACTTAAAAAATGCGGGTTTTTGAGATTTTCAGCCAAACGGTAAGTTTTATCACAAAAATATGTATGACAAGGTTTAAGACCATACAATTATCTATCAAAATTGTCTATACACTTTCTCCTAAGAGTCAGCGTATCTGAGATTCGATGATCCGAAGAGTCAAAAAAGAGTTTTGCATCGTTACCACATAAACGGTGACTCTTAGGAAAAAGGGGCAAAGACAATTTTAATAGACAATTTTATGATCTACTACTATTTCTTATCATTTCTTATGATAAGTTTACTGTTTGGCGGAAAAATGCAAAAAACTTGGACTTCGTTAATTATTTTTTTTAGGAGAAAGTTTATAGACAATTTTGATAGATAATTGTATGGTCTTAAACCTTGTCATACATATTTTTGTGATAAAACTTACCGTTTGGCTGAAAATCTCAAAAACCCGTATTTTTTAAGTTGGACCT